ATATATATATATATATATATATATACATATATATATATATATATATATACATATATATATATATATATATATATATATATATATATATATATATATATATATATATATACATACTATATATATATATATATATATATATATATATATATATATATATATATATATATATATATATATATATATATATATATATATATATATATATATATGTATATGTATATATATATATTAAGATGGTTTTTTTTTGACTAATACTACTTATTATAGATAGCGCAAAATTTACATTAAAATAATTTTTTTAGTAGAAGTTACAAAGTGAAAAGTCTTAGGTATGTTTTTATTATCCATTAGTATTATGACCAAAATAATCTTTATTTTGTATAAAAAAATTATTGAACTTTTTTTAAACACATTTAAAACAAAAATATTTCAATTAAAAAAATTCAATAGTAGGCATAAAATTTAATAAAATACATGCTCTAGTCAAAGTTTTAACACAACCCATAGTTTTAAATGTTAGTAATAATATTTGATTTGTAAATAATAATGTTTAATAAATGTTTAATAATAATAAAGTTGCTATAATATAAAATATATTTAGTATTAATTAATCAAATAGGGTTTGTGTTGACATATTGCTATGTTGCTATGTTTCTATATAGAGTTTAATACTTTGCTATGTTATTTATACTATGATAATGCTATACTCTCTGAGGTGCAACTGCCAACAAGAATAGATGTGATACGGCATATGGTGTATTTGCAATAAAATGTAAGCAACCTATCATTCTATTAAATAACCGTAAAGTTAAACTTATACTATAATTTTACAGAAACTTCCTGGAAAAGCCAAAAAAGAATGAAACTTCCTGGAAAAGCCAAAAAAGAATGAAACTTCCTGGAAAAGCCAAAAAAGAATAAAAAAAATGAGCAGAGCAAAAAAATGTAATAAAATTGCTGACAGAAAAAAATAAAAAAAATAACTTTCAGTTCTATAAAGACAAACTAGCCAAACCATTTGATATATCTGCTTGCCAATGTAAAGATCTGAAAAAATACTGATATGTTAAAGTTAATATGGTACCAGATACTATCATTTCTGCCACACCCAGTACTTTAAAACGGCCTGCTATTGATGAAAACACTACATCGTTGTCATTATCATCTTCAAAGCAAATGTGATTCCTTCTCCCTTCTATTTCATTGGTCTGCGACCGCCAAGGACTCTCAGACAGATCTGCTGCAGCTTTGGCATCAGCTGTACTTGCAGATATTGGCATCATTTCCCAAGATGACAAAAAATTTGTTATTGACTGGAGCAAGATAAGATGTAAGCGCATGAAAGCCAGGAATAACTTGAAAGTTATCCCTGGCTTTCAGGAGGAATCAGGACTTTTTGAGAACTTTTTAGTGGAACAGCTGACGCATTTAAATCTCAAATTTTAAAGTATTCTAAAGAACACAATATTATAATAGGTGGCGTTATTAGATTGGTTGAGTTAGAACTTCAACAGCATCTACAATGGGTAATTTGTTTGTCACATGCAAATGAGCTTCCACTATGTCATTTGTTTGCAGAATTGGATAAACCAATATCTGGTCCCAGGTACTATTCAGATTCTATTGGAATGTCCCATGAAACTTATGAGATCTTAAAGGTTGTTGATTTTTAACCGATAAACCATAATGTAGAAATGCCCGAGGTGGAGAAAAAAGTGCTCAGTAAGGATCAGCTTTACCTGATTACCTGATTACTGATTTTACCTTTTTAACATTTAGCAGCCGTGGCGCAGTGGTTAGAGTCTGGCTCAGAACCCAAAGGTCCGAGGTTCAACGCCAGCTCCAGCCCAACAAGCGACATTGGTATGGAAGGAGGCGTGAACTTCCCGTTAAATGCTTTCATGCGGTGCTCTATGATAAGACCGTAAGGACTTCTGGGAGCACCTAAATATATACAAAAAAAAAAAAAAAAAAAAAAAAAAACATCTGCTAAACTGTACTAAGTGGCACTTGTTCTGTCAATCTGAAAAAATGCAGCCCTTGAAAACTGGCACATTTTAGATGACTCACCACAGCGATGATGATCCTTAGATTATACATTACTACCACCAATCCTTTATCAAATTAAGTAACTATAGCAACATATATTGTGCATTTATGCCCTATGCGGTTCATCATCAAGAAAGAGTCTTCAATTTTTCATGGCAGCTTCATCAAGAAAGAGTCTTCCATTTTTCATGGCAGCATCATCAAGAAAGATTCTTCTATTTTTCATGGCAGGCATTTATGCAACACAATAGTCATATCACGGTATCTTCCAGATGCATTACATATATATATATATATATATATATATATATATATATATATATATATATATATATATATATATATATATGGGTGTGTGTTAAAATTGTTTTATAAACGAGTTTTTACAAAAGTGTAAAATGTAATTTATCTAATGTGTGTATAACATGTTAATAAACTAGAAATAATGATTTTGAAAGGAAGAATACTACAAATATATATATATATATATATATATATATATATATATATATATATATATATATATATATATATGCGTGTGTGTTAAATTTGTTTTATAAACGAGTTTTTACAAAAGTGTAAAATGTAATTTATCTAATGTGTGTATAATCTGTTATATAAGGTATTTATATGTTAGATATGGTTAAATAAACATATTGTGTTTTTTAAATTGATATATATGTTTATATTATGTTGTTTCCAAAGTGGTGTGACTTGGCAAATGTGTAGAGCAAGATTGGTCAACCTTGCCAGCCAAGCGGTGTATGTTTTAGATCTAGATGTTATTGCTTTAGATCTAGGTGTTGTTTTATCATATATATTTATGTGATTTAGAAAAACAAAGTATTGTAAATTTTTGTGAACTTTTTAAAAATATTTACTAATAATTAATAATTACTCAAACGGTCTGACTAGCAAGGTCTTCAAGCAAATTTGAGCTAATAAATTTTTAGCTTTCAAGGAGAACTGATGTTTTTTTTTTTTAATTTGCTTAATTATAGCAGTTTTAACGTTTCTTTGTTTGTGGTTTTTTCTTTGTACTTTTTTTTTTACTTTGTATTTGGTTTTTTACTTAGTTTATAAGAATCTGAACACAGATGTTCAGATTCTTATAAACTAAGCAACTCGCTAAGCAAGATTTATTTTTTAGAGTATTTGAAAAGAGTTGAAAAGCTATTTTTTAGAGTAGCTGGAAAGAGTTAAAGTGCTTTTTAGTCACATGAATTCACTTTATTGTTCTTTTTTTTATAAGAATAGTCAACAATAATAAATTTTTTTAGACAGTCAAACTGAAACTGCTTTGAGTAAGTTTACTCTTTTATTTTATTTTATATTAGACTCATTTTATACTAGATAAATATTTTATGCATTTAAGATTAAAAACGGACAGTTATTTGTTGACATGTAAGTTTATATACATAAATGTGCCTATTACAATATATATTTATATAATATAATTACAAAATTACTTTAATTACAAAAGATCACATTTTCTAAGTATTTTGTATGTTTATTTATAACATCAGTTGTAACAGTAGTAATATGTTAGTATTAATTATGTTACTGGTAATATGTTTAATGATAATAGTAAAATTGAAATGTATTATAGTTAGGCTCAAAGAAGTTATTAATATAAAAGCTAATAGGCGATTTGAAAATAATTGTTGTCCAAATAAAAGAGATAGAGCAAGATGCTTGATGAGATAGGTAAAAGATAAAAGAGATAGGGCAAGATGCTTGATGAGATAGGCAAAAAGCTAGGCTAGATGATTTTAATTGTTGTTGAAATGTAAGAAATGCTGCAAACAGAAAATTTACTTGCTAGAATTCAGTGTCAAGCGATGTTAATGTTTTTTAATTTGATTTTACTTTTGACACTTTAGAACAAAGGTAAGTATAAATTTTACAACTTATAATAACAATTAATAGCAATTTTAAACTTAAATGATTTTAAATTTTGTTTTATAAATTTAAACATACAGTTATGTTCTTTTTTTTTTAATTGCCTTAGTCATCACTTGATTAGTTTGCTTACTAGTGAAACATCGTTTTGATTTACACTATTAATCATTAGTCAACAGTTAGGGAGAAGTTGAAACTTTACATAATTAAGGTAAAGATAATTACTGGTAACATAATAAATTAAGTTTTTATGATATTTGTGTTATAGCTATATTGCGCTACATTGTCGTCTTTATTATTATCATTAACAGTAACTTTTCTTATGTTCATAAATATTTAATGTCTTTATTACTTTTTTTAACATGCTACCTTGGAAACACTGTCTTCCTCTCTTAAATGATAGTTAAATGGACCTTATAACACTGCTTGGCAGCGCCAAGCAGTGTTATAAGGTTGTGTTGTCTAGCCTTTTTTAATTATTCTGGAAACACTAGCAATATCTGGAGTGTGTGCTTCAAACATCTGATACTATGTATTATTGTTACTGTGTTTTGTATTGATAGAGCTAGGCTGTTATAGCTAATTTTTTATTATTCTTTATGTTTTATATTACTAATAGTCTAATTCTATTAACAATAAAATACAAATAATAGTTTTGTAATTGAAAATTGTAATTTTTTTTTTAATTTCTTTTTTTACGTATGGCAAGCTTAACTTGACTTTCCTCCTCTGATACCTGCTGTATTGTAACAGATTTTAAAAAGAACTTAACTGATGTTAATGTAGTCTTTTTATGTTGCTAACTATTAGCAAACCAAACTTAAAACTTAAATTTATAGATAAATTTGCATTTAATTTTATTTTTTTAGATAATATATCAAGTTATATTATTATCAATAAATAATAATAGGTTGTTTACTGATAGTAATAGATGGATAATAGACAAATTACCCTATAATTCTAAAATAATTTTAGAGAAATTATGTTATTTATAACAATAAACCATATACATTATTGTATTGCAACTATGACTAAAAATTAAAAATTACCTTAGCTGAAGTAGTAATCAACCTTGCCTGGTTTCGTGGTAAGTTTTTAATATCAGCAGATAGTTTCTCTGGATTTACAGAAGCCAGATGCTGTAAAGTCCGATATCCACACTTAAATAACTGATGTGCACGTGCCTTAAAAGTTTTGATAAAGCAATAGAAGTTGAAAATATTAGGATTAATTTGAAATGAAATTGAAAAACATAAAATAAAAAACAGTTAATAAGCTAATGAAAGTTAAATGAATAAAAATAAAATTCAAACTTAAATTGTTAAAATGATTTTTACACGGTAACATGAAGGAAGCTTTTGCATCACTAACAACTTTCATCATCATTGTCCAAGATTATTTAAACAGAGATTTTGGTCTTAATAAGGTGAACATGTGGTGAGCTGAACATCTTTTATCAAGAACATGTGTTTACTAGAACAAGTGTGTACCAGCATAACATAAAGAATTTGAAATTTACTATTAACTGTGAAAATGTTATTGTAAAGATGTAACTGGTTTGTCTACTTCTCCCAGACTCAAGCATGATCCTGCACAACGCTGACTGTTCATAGCTTAAAAAGAAGTCTCAAAGCAGTGTTGCTTAAAAACCTAAATATATAACTATATTTTTCACTTGCAAGTTGTGTGTAGAAAAATGAAGACTATGATGATGTGAAAAAATCTCTTTAATTAATAACTTTGAATTTAAGCGGAATGAATAATAACTTTTAACTCTTTAACTTTGAATTTAAGTGGAATGTCTTTGGTGATTTTATTGTTTTGCTTGTAGAAAAGCAGATGATGACTATTACTAGAAAGTTCATTAGCGCTCGGTAACAGAAGTTAAATATATAGTATCAAAAAAAAACAGTTTATTTTCCTTAGCCGGTCACCTCTAACAAATTTTTATATATCTTTTAAATTGGTATAAAATTCTCAACAGCTTGTGAAAGATTCTAATGCAAACAGCTTTACTGATTCAAAGAAATCTGACCTAAAATTTGAAGCCATTCTTTTACCTTGTTTTCCGTGTAATGTAATTTAAGTAGCATTTTAAGTAAGTTTGCCCTATTTTGGCCTAACTCAAGTTAACTACAACCAGAATCGTTCAACTAAGTCTTATAGCCACACTTTATACCAAACTAGGATTGATAAAACAGTTTTAAAAAAGCCAAATACAAATAATTTATCTCTTGTTTTCAAAGCTATCTGAGCAAAGATCAATGGTAGTATATTCGTTTAACATCAAATAAATGCTAAAGTCAAAGAAACTCAAAAGGTCAATGACTAAAGTTAAAAAGGAAGCAAGGTGAGCATTTCTTGATGTTTTTATATTTTATCATTTAGTTTATAGATTCCTAGGAAATCTCAATATCTAATCACAAACAGCTGGTTCCAAAGCTTATTGAAAAATTTAAAAAACTAGGTTCTCACATGTCCATAAAGATTCATATGTTGCATTCACATCTAGGTTTTTCCCCAAAAAATATGGGTGATGCCAGTGACCAGCATGGTGAAAGATTTATTAAAATACTGCTAAAATGGAAAGCAGATATCAAAGACAATAATATGCTACGTTGAGAGATATATATTGCCTTTAATCAAAAAAGATGAATGTATGCACTCAAGAAAATTGTAAGTTTAAAAATATTTATAATAAAGAACCGTATTGCTTTTTATTGTTTTCACTAAAATTGTTATTCCTAAATACCTTTCTAAATATTAAAAAGTGGTATATGCTATGCAATAAACGGTAACAACAACAAGCTATTTATTTTTCATAAATTATTTTTACAATAGTAATATTAATAATTCTACAGTCAGGTCAGGCAACATGTAACCCAGTACAACCTGCTTCATGTCGTGCTGCCTTTTAGGATATGCTTTTTTAGGCAAAGGCTAGGAGAAGCCAACTTCGACTTAAAACACCTCCTGCCTTGGGGCTCTTGGTTGAATAAAAGCTAGTGATGGTGTCTCAATAAAAATACTCATCTTGGGCAAATGTTAAATGCATCCGGCTACTGTCTTGTAGAAGGCCTCCTAGGCAAAGACTTAAAGGGTAAACAGATTCTATCTGTTGACCAGCCTTGCACCCCTTCTTCATCTATTAGGCTAGCTCAGATGTATTTTTATTACATTGTTTCCAGTTTAGGATCTTAAACGCTCATCTTCTTGACTCAATGCATGGGTTTTGCTCATGTTTCTGCTTTTATGACTAGGCAACTCAATTCATTATCTCCTAATAAGGGTACAGCTCTAAAACTTAGTTTTATGGTTCTGAGGCCGGCTTGTAGTCAGGTTTCCTAAACTCTGTAGTAGCTCTTAGAGTAGCTGATTCCATCAACAGATGAAAAAAATCAAAGTACTAACAATGCTATGCTGCGCATGGATGGTGTCCCTATTCATACTTTTGGTGTGCGTTGTTGTGGCCACATTTGGAGCCCTTTGTTACGTTTTGGGTTTATTATTAGTAATAAGGCAATTGCTTGGACTATTAAATAGTGTACTGAGTACTGTCTATGCTTTGAGTCAAGTAATTTAAAAAAATTTAAAATGAACAAAGTACCAAAACTTGTGAGACTAACTTGAGTTCAGCTGTCTCATCTTGTGATCTTAGTGTTGATGGTTATCTTCCTTTAATTCGTAAAGACTCCAATAGTAACATGCTTGGCCTGGGCATTTACATTTGTAAGAATTCATCCATTTGTCTAGAAACTTGGTTAGAATACACAGACTACTCTTTTATGTGTTTAGCACCACTTTCCTCTATCGCCTATCTCTTTGTTCTATATCATTCGCCTTTATCTCAAGACTGCACTTTTTTCGATGTTATTTCTGATCAAATTAACTAAGGCCTCTCTCTTTATCCATCAGCCAATATTGTTGTAGTTGGTGACTTTAATACTCATCACACTAAATGGTTTGGTTCTAGTGTCAGTGACTCTGCAGACATTAAGGCTCACAACTTTTGTCTTTCTCAATCCCTAACTCAAATAATCAACTTTCCAACTTGCTTTCCAGAAAACCCGAATAATTTATCTTCCCTACTTGACTTATGTCTTGTTTCTGATCCTAGCCAGTGCTCAGTTTCTCCATATTCACCCTTAGGTGCTTCTGATCACAGTTTGATTTCTATAAAACTATTATCTTATTCTTCTTCATCATCAGAATCCCCCTACCATCGTACCTCTTACAACTACTTTGAAACTGACTAGGACTCGTGATTTCTTTGTGATGGCTCTTGGGTAGAAATCTTTTGTTTTCCTGCTGACAAATGTGCCTTCACGTAACTTGTAGATTCAGACTGGCATAGAATCTTTTATTCACACTCGAGGATTCCAGGACAAACCTCACTCAAAATTTTCAATCAAAACTTTTACTTCCATATCTATCAGCAAAACAATTCTTCAGAAAACAGACGTCTATTTACTAATGCTAGAAACCATTGTAAAAAGGTTTTGTCTAATGCCAAAGCTCGCTATTCTCAGGTCATGAAATCTTATATTTCATCACAAAAATTAGACTCTCGTGACTTCTGGAGAATCTTTAACAATATCTATAATAAGAGCAAATCTGTTATTCTACCTCTCTTGTATGGTTCAGACTTTGTCACCTCACCTAAAGACAAAGCTAAATTGTTTGCTAAGAACTTTTCATCAATCATCTCTTGATTCCATATCACTCCAACTTCTGAATCAAAAGTGATTTCCTTATCAGAGTCTTGTTTTCCGGAATGCTGGAAAGCAGCATCTGTTATCCTTATTTTTAAAAATTCTGGAGAGCAATCTGATTTGTCTAACTACCGCCCCATTAGTCTTCTTCTTATCATAAGCAAGGTTTTTAAATCTTTAATTAACAAATACCTAATCTCTCATCTCTCAATACATTTCTCTCATCTTACTTTCTGATTATCAATATGGATTTCGATGTTCTTGTTCTACAGCTGATTTTCTAACAGTAATAACCAATAGGTTTATTCTGCGTCTCAGATAGAGGTGGAGATGTTAAGGCTATTGCTCTTGACATTTCTAAAACTTTTGATAAAGTTTGGCATGATGGTCTTCTCCATTAGCTTTCTTCTTATGGTGTATCTGGTAACATCTTTAATATTATTGAACCCTTTCTTTTCAATTGTAGTATAAAAGTTGTCCTAAATGGACAGTACTTTTATTCATACCCTGTAACTCTAGGGGTTCCTCAAGGTTCAATCCTTAGGCCTATACTCTTTTAAACTAAAAAATTAACGATCTTCCAGATATTCTCACATCTAAGGTGGAATTGTTTGCTGATGATACTACCATTTATTCTTGTCATGATAAGAAGCCTACACTCTCTGATTGCTTGGAGGAGACATTTGAGCTTGAAAAGGATCTCACTTCTGCTACAGCATGGGGCTCACATTGGCTGGTGAACTTTAATTCAGATAAAACTCAATTTTTTTCAGTCAATCGTTATCGCAATAATTTAGATCTTCCTATATTTATGAACGGTACTTGACAAGTCATCTACCCTTCATTTTGTAGGATTAACTTTTGCTTCTGATCTTTCTTGAAAACTTATATTAAACCCATTGCAAAATTAGCATCTGTTACGGTTGCATCTCTTTATCGTGCTCAAGACTTTATTACTCCGGATTCTATTCTTTATCTCTATAAATCTCAAATCCGTCCTTATATGGAATACTGTTCCAATCCGCCCAAGATGTGGCATCTTGGGCGGATCTTCTAATGATGCCCTTACTCTTTTAGACAAGTGGCAAAAACACATTGTAAATATAGTTGGACCTGCTCTTGCAGCCAACCTCCAAGCATTATCACATTGTTGTAATGTTGCTTCTCTTTTACTTTTCTATAAATACTATAACAGGTACTGCTCTAAAGAGCTAGCGTCTCTTGTGCCATCTACTAAAATTCACCCTTGTGTTACTCGTCATTTAATTACGTCTCATTTTATTGTAGCTGTTCCTAAGTGCTCCAAAAATTCTAATTTGTCTATTTTTTTTCCTTGAACATCAGTTCTTTGGTTCCTTTATCTTGTTTTTTTGATTCATATAATTTGCAATCTTCAAAGTCGTCTGTCAATCGTTATTTTGCTTTATAAACTTCATTTTTCTCTTCCAGTAACTTCCAACTCTATTGTGGTTGCTTGCAGCTTTGTTTGAAGCAAAAATATTAAAAAAAAAGAAAAGGTAATTTAAGTTGCAGTTTTTTGAACCAATTCAAAACAAGGCTTCTGTTCCATTTACAGACACAAAAACAATACAATAAGATTATATCTTATACATGTCTATAAAAAACTTGATTCTTATCAATATTAGTGATGTGCTAGGTACCCAGTTTGGTCCTGGGGACCCAGTAATTTGGCTGTTTTAGCGGGTACCTGGAATCATTCTATTTCCTTGGAACAGCTTGAAGTTATTTAAAGACACTTTACATTTACACTGCATTCCAAGGAATAAAAGAATTGTTTCTTGATAAAATAAAAAAGAAATAAAACATCGATATTTTGATAAAACATTTTGTATAAAATATTTTGACAACAGATGCATTGATAGACAGCAGACAACTGATAGACAACAGAGGCACTGATAGACAAAAGAACGCTTACCATACTTACATATTAGATAGTACATTTATAAAAAAGTTTTTTGAAGGACTCCGATGTATCTGATTTAAATGGCTCAAAATTTATTAATCAAATGAATTGATGTTGAGATGGTAGCAACTTGTTTATGAGTTTCCAACTTGACCGCAAACTTGATAACAATGAATAAGATAAGATGAGAATAACACATACTAAATACAAGTGACATAATGACAAATTATTGAAAGCATACTGCAGCTCATTAATGTGAAAGTTCCATGAAAGATTACAGTCAATTAACACACTAAAATATTTAATAAATCTCATAGGATATAGCAGTTTATTATCATTTTGTATTTAATTTCAACAATTTTATAATAATAATTTTTTCTCAGAGATGAATATATATATATATATATATATATATATATATATATATATATATATATATATATATATATATATATATATATACATATATATATACTTTTTAAAAAAAAAATTCACTTCCAACCAGACTGTAAGCAACCACTATTAGAGTTGGAAATTATTGGAAGAGAAAAGATGAAGTTTATAGAGCTAGATAACGACTGACATACAATTTAAAAGATTGCAAATTATATGAATCAGGAAAACAAATAAAAGGAGTGAAATCCAAAGAACTGATGTTTGAGGAAAAAAACTAGATAAATAAGAATTTTTGGAGCACTTAGGAACAGCTACAGTACAAGGATGAGATTAATTGAATGAAGAGTAACACGAGAATGAATTTTAGTAGATGGTACAAATGACGTTATCTCTTTAGAGCAGTGCCCATTATAGTATTTAAAGAAAAGAGAAAGAGAAGCAACATTATGACAATGTGATAATGATTGGAGGTTGGCTGCAAGAGCAGGTCCAACTATATTTACAATGAGTTTTTTCACAATTGTTTAGAAGAGAAAGTGCATCATTGAAAGATCCGCCCCAGATATGGCAACAGTATTCCATACAAGGACAGATTTAAGATTTATAAAGATAAAGAATAGAATCCTGAGTAAGAGAGTGGCAAACTAGATAAAGAGATGCAACCTTAGCAGATGCTTATTTTGCAGTTGATTTGATATATGGAGGGTTACAAAAGTATAAAAATTCCATGAAATTTTTTGTTTAAGGATTACCACAATACTTTTTAAAAATACCTCTTTAATTCCAGGAATCTCTAGTAACGGTGCTAATTCAATGCTGCTTGTGTTTGAGAGTCGCTCAAGGAGAGCTTGAAACAAAATTTTATACACCCAAAACTCGCTTATTTCCTAAATAAATAACACAAAATAATAAAAAAATAAAACAGTGGCTTTTTTTAACTTTTTTAATTATATAAAAAATCCTTTAAAAAATGAGTAAACAATATATAAAAATGCATACAGCAGTAAAATGTATCAACAGTGAGGTGTATGATATTGATGAGACAAGAAGATTCTGAAGAAAACCACGAGAAATCTCATAAGTTTCAGAAACTTGCAGTACAGATTTCTTTTTTAAAAGTTCAAATAATAGCAAAGCCAAAAAAAATCGCTTGTAAATGAACTCATCAAATGAGTCCTAAAAAAAATAAATTTTTTTTAAACAAAGTATTGAACTGATTTATACATACACACATAAATACATAGATGTATATATGTATGTATGTACAAATGTATGTATAAATGTATATATGTATGTATCATTACTTTTTTCCTCAATAATTGTTTTACTATTAACTCTTTTGCACCTATATAGAATATTTGTAAACAGTAAAAATATACATACTATACTGAAAATGATATATTAGGGATAAAAGGCATCATATTTACACCCCATAACTATATATTTTCAAAAAGATAAATAAATAGAGATTATGTCTCTTTTTTAAAAAAAATAAAATACTAATAATTGCCGATACAAAGATCATGTGACTTTCGCAAATTTTTTTTTTTTTTTTTTTACAAAAAAAAAGGATTCAAGGCCTTGAAAAAAGTAAATATAATACTTATCAAGACTTAAAACTACTTCTGTGGTGGTCTACTACTAGTGGTGCATTCTGAAGATTGCACCACTACTAGTGGTGCATTCTGAAGATTGCACCACTACTAGTGGTGCAATCTGTAATAGCGGACATTATAATCACGTGAATTTTGCAAAAAAAAAAGTTTTAATCTAAATCAAACACGCTAAAAATCTGTTAACTTAAGGGTCACTTACAAACTAGGTCACTAAATTTTCAACCAATTGAGACCCCTCCCCTCTCCTAGTCACAACATCGTAACACTTTAGTAACAAGTTATGTATGAGTTGTCAATAAACCACTAATATCCCCACTCCCCCCCTTCATCCCTAAAATGTGACATAAATTATGGACTCCTTATTTCTATTACGGAGCTTTAAAAGTTTGTTTATTATGACTAATTTTGAAGCTGAACATAAAGTTATCCTTTAAAGCATAAAATCAAGTAGTTTTGATTGATGGCTTTGCTAAAAAAAACCTTTAACTATTGATTTATTACTACAGGGTCGTTAATGACCTGTTCTGGTGCGAAAGAGTTAAGCAGTATAATTATGAACTCATTATAGTTTTTACTAAATGTAACATTTAGTTTTGTTTAAATAAAAGTGAATTTATGGTTTTGTACATAAGTATGTACTTCAAAATTTCACTTAAGCTACAGTGTGTTTATTTAATCTGGAAGGTTTAAAAGACAGCATTATTTAAACAGTTTAAATGAGAGGTTTAATGGAGAGTTATATTAAAGTAAGCCACTTATTCAAGTGAACACCTTATCAAGCAAGATGTTTATTAAAAAAGAGTGCTTCAGCAATTTTTCTGGATGTCAAATCAATTAAAACTCAGCCTATATTTATATTTATATTTTTGTCTTCCTATAGTATCTCATTTGGACAAGCTTAAGCAGCATAATTATCATATGCTTTAAAAGAATGGCTTCTTTTCTAGATTCATGTACCCAAGTTTCAAAACCAATCAAAATCTGATATGTTCATCATGTTGAATTATTCTGGGAATCATTTTCCTTGCAAAAAATTCAGAATCTGTTGTATCTTCCAATTCCTTAAAGAAAATTAAGCCACTTTTTTGAAAATTCAAGAAACACATAAATCTTATCTAGAATTTAAACCTCATTTCATAACTAGCTGTTCATTTGTCAGTTTTCTTCTCTCGTCACAAGGCATTTACTTACACCATGCTTCTATATTATTTGTGCTTGAACTTGATTATGGTTGTTCATCCAGCAAGGGTAAACAACTGTAATCAACCTTGATCAAACTCTTCTTTTGTAACAAGCAATGACATACAGAAACTTTTTGAAACTGTTCTGCATGAAGATAACTTTTATTTTAAATGTCAGTTTAATTACCAACCATTTCTTCTTTATGAAAAGCAACCATAACAGAAGCATCACTTTAGTGTAAAACACACACCACTAATTGAACTTGTCATTTAACTTCCTTTTTTTTTCCTCCCTCAACTGAAGAAAATTTTCTTTTATCATTCAGCCTTCATTTATTTTAAAACTGTATTCAAAAATATTGTATTAAAATGTCGTTACTTTTTCACTTTTGTGTGTACAAAATAATTTATATGATTAAATACTAGCTTTACATGATTTACACAATATATACATTATGTATACAATATACAATATGCAAAAAGATTTAAAAATTTTTCAAAACTTTTATTTAAAGCATTTTAAGACCTGCATAAATTTTTGTTTTCAAACATTTCAAGAAATAAAATATTTAAAAAATAAACCTGCAATAGATTTAACCTCATTATTTTTTGTATAATTTTTTAAAAAATATTTTTGAGGGAATTTTTTAATTAATATTTTAATTTTTCATTAAGATTTACAAGATCAAATTTACAATACCAGCTTGTCACAGTCTATTTATAAAGATATTTAGGCACCAATTGTTAATGAACAATTTCATTGCAAATCTGACCTAGCCAGACAAACATGTATGACAAAAACATTTATGACAAAAAATGTACAACAAACATACATTCCTGTTTATAAACTTGTAGATGGTTACTTAATACTATGTTTGTTTTATATATAGTATTATACTATATATAATTTAGTTGTTAGTAAAATAAAATAAAAAATTGGTCTGGTGTTTCCAGTCAGATACACAGCAATGATAAATAACAAAAAGTCTGTCAGAATTTATTTTGAAAAACTCATAGATAAATGAGTTAGATAATCAACATTTAAGCGGAAATTAACACATATTTGAGATATAATTAACACTATTGTTTTCTGATGTTTTTCTAGAAAATAAAATATGAAAAAAATGACAAAAAGAATAAAGACTAGAAATTAAATAAATATACAAATTAAAACTAAATATAGAAATTAAAACCAAATATTGTTTTTCTTTGCTCAAATAACTTCCATTCTTTTGATACAAAAAAAAACTGTCTAATTAGCTTGTTTCAAATATGCTATTTTTAAAATGGTGTATTATAATTTTTCTGATATGATGGAAATTTATTTAAATCATTGTAATCACAACAAAAGAATTTGGAAACTTTTTTTTTAAAAAATCGTAAATTAAGATAATTAAATTAGTTCAAATAATTAAAAATCAAAAAGTAAAATAATAAACTTTATACTAAAATAACAAATTTATTTTTAAACTTTTCACTAAACTTTAACCTTTTACAAGGAGAAACATAAATCAAGAGATCAATTCAGATTAACACAAAAAAATTAATAAAAAATAAATCAATTCATATCACTAATTTTCTTGCTCTGTTAGTGACACATGTTCTAAGTGTTTATAACTACTATCTAGTATATATGATGTTTTTAATGCACACATGTTTTTAAGGCATATATGTTTTTTTAGCATATATAATTAGTTGTGATTATTTATTCTCTTCATTTATAATGAGAACAAATATCAAAAAATTAAATTTAAAAAACAAACAAATTTAATTAGAAAGTAAACATTTAAAAAACAAAAAAATACCTTGCTACATCTTTTACCAGCAGCCTTTTTACTAAGTACACTTTCTGTTACTCCAACAAACTCAGCTGTTTTCAGATTGATTGGATTAAGCTTATTTACCTGGAATAAATACAACATTAAATTAAGGAAATATAGTCCATTTTATAAAACATTACATAGTAAATACAATATCATCTAAAGGAATAAAGAGAAGTAAAAAATAGTTTTCTCACACTTCTTCTTAAAACTCACTACATCATTGCACTACTTACTACTAGCCTTAGGCTGACTGGAAATCTTTTTATCATATTCTATAATACGGTACTTGGGCTGATATCTCTCTCTGCTGATAAATGCACCTCTTATGTAACCTCCTCTGCTCAAGCAGGTATGAAAGTTTTTATTACTTTTTCATTGGTTTTAAGTCAAGCATCATTCTACTCCATGTTTTTGCCCTTTTTGTGCAGTTGCTATATGTAACCATAATCATTTTTTTTTCTTCATCTATTTCAAAAGGACAACTCTCTTGAGAACAAACGTCTATTTATTATTGCAAGAATGTAAAAAGGTGCTGTGTGATACTAAGCTCCAATATTCTCAGTTTACTAAATGTCATATCTTATATCAGAAGTTTACTAAATGTCATATCTTATATCAGAAGTTTACTAAATGTCATATCTTATATCAGAAGTTTACTAAATGTCATATCTTATATCAGAAGTTTACTAAATGTCATATCTTATATCATCAGTTTACTAAATGTCATATCTTATATCAGAAGTTTACTAAATGTCATATCTTATATCATCAGTTTACTAAATGTCATATCTTATATCATCAGTTTACTAAATGTCATATATTATATCATCAGTTTACTAAATGTCATATCTTATATCAGAAGTTTACTAAATGTCATATCTTATATCATCAGTTTACTAAATGTCATATCTTATATCATCAGTTTACTAAATGTCATATCTTATATCAGAAGTTAGGCTCTAGAGACTTTTTAAAATCTCCAACATTTCGTCATTAACAAAAGTAAGTCGCATATTCCATCTCTAATACATGAGCTCTGATCTTGTTACCTCTCCCAAGGATAAGGCAGAACTATTTGAAAAAAAAAATTCCTCTAATTTTTGTTGATTCTAATGATCATACTGTAATTAATATATTGTTACACCCCAAATCACTCTGGCTTCCATTGCTAAAGCCATTTTTTAATTAAACATTTCTATGGCTTGTGGTTCAGACTAGATTTCTATCACAGTATTACAAAAGTATTTACCAGAACACTCTTCAATTCCCTCTAAACTATTTAATAAGTGCTTGACTGAATCTTGTTTTCTTGCTTGCTGGAATTTAACTTATGTGATTTGAGTTTTTTAAAAGATTTGGAGAACACTCCAACTATCATTTAGAATTCTCACTATTATTGGCAAGATCTTTGAATAAATTTTAAAGCCACCATGAGTCTAACAACTTGACAATCAATTCTTGATCTACTATTCATTTATGTCTTTTTTATTACTTATTGACTTGCTTTCTGCTATAACCAAAAGATTATATTATGCATTAAATGGAGGCAGCTAGGAAAGAGCTATTGCTCTTGATGTATATAAGACTTTCAAATTTGGCATGCTGATCTTTTCCATAAGCTAGCTTCATATGGTGTATCTGGGAAAGTTTTTGAGATTTTTAAATCATTTTTTTCTAATCATAGTATTAAAGTCATTGAAGGCCAACAACCTTAATCATTTTCTGGGGTAACTTCTATAATAACTTCTATATATAAGTAGCTTCTATATTTTACAAGGTTCTTTGCTTGAATCTATATTGTTTTTTATCTACATTAACAATCTTCCTGATGATCTTACATCTAAGGTAGCTCTAACTGACGTCTCAATCTTATACTCTTGATCACTGGCATCAACACAAAAATTTAACATCCCTATAATGTTACTTACTCCAACTTTTTATGTCAATGATTTCTCTATATCAAAATGATACTGAACTACAAATGAAATGATTATTTCTAATTTTTTTATTATTTCTAACAAAATGTCCCCAAAAAGCAAGGTTCTTTCTAATTATTGTTATAACAATTGGAATTAATTATTATATATATAAATAATAATTATTGTTTTAACTATCTTTTAATTATCAGAAGGAAGTTTTAAACAAGAATTATTTAAATCTCAATAACAAATCTGTAACAAGAAAATATTACAAGAAAGCTGACAACTCAAATTTATACTCCCTTAATTTATTGCAAAACTAGCATCAGCTAATAATGCTTTATTGTGTTTTTTTTTTATCACGTTCTCCTTACCTTACTCCTGCTCCATTCTCTACCTCTACAAAAAGATCTTATTTGCCTCTGTATGGAATACTGTGGTCATATTTTTGAAAATAAACTTAAAAAACTATTTTTTTACATATTTAGCTTGGAAAAACCAAGGTAGTACAAATGCTGGACATGTGGTAGAGTAGAATAAGTAAAAATGACATACAAAGCAAGCCTCTAACTAATAGTTAACTAATATATTATTAGCTGACTCTACAACGCTAAACCTATTAAATAATAATAAATTTTACGACTGCTAAAAAGCCCAGAAACCTTAAAAGGCCCTTACAACAATAACCAGCTTTAATAAATTTATTAGAAAAGTTATGACGGTAAAAAATAAAGAAGTTTTGGTAAACTATATAAATAGTTTGAATTTGTAACAATTATTTTGAAATGTTAAAACTTTTTTGTAAAAATTATTTTTAAGACTTTTACATGCTGTATTTGTCCATGACATACTTGCCCATAAAAAAAATTTAAATAATTCCAAAACATTTGTATTTAATTTTATATTGGAGTGGATGACTGTTAAAAACAGCTCAGATAGGCAAGTGCAAAAAACTATTGACTTCAAGGGTATTAAAGATACAATTAAAACAAGTGGTGAAAAAACCAAACATAATTATAATGAACTATAAGCTTCATATAATTAATGCCTCATAAAGTTTAATAATTAAACATAAGTGACACCACTGAAGGTATTTAATGCTTTTTTTGATATAGGTATTAAAATCAGATGCAAAAAAAAAAAAAAAAAAAAAAAAAAAAATTTTAATCTTTACATAAAAAAATTGAATTTATAAATCTATAGTAATGCCACTACACGGCTGTTTCACTCAATATAAAAGCGAGCTTGACGTAACAGTTATTTTTGTGTTTATCAAAAAAAAAAAAGTATTTCTGCAAAAAAAGTTTAAAAATGCACTAACTTTAAAATAAAAGTGTTTTTTTCCTTCAAAAAAAAATATATATATATATATAAAAGACCTATCTTTTTTTTTAAAATAAATATTTACATTAAACGGAATAAAAATATTAATGTTTAAATATTGCTAATGATATGGGATCACTTTTCTGTTTTTTGTGGTTTTTACGGAAAACCTGACTTGGGTCAACTAAGATTTAATAACATAGCTACATGCCTCATGGTTGAAATTTGGAACATTTATAAACAAATGTCTATTCTATCTAATTTTTGGTGCGGATTGCTTATTTTTTATTTTTTAACTATTTTTTAATGCATTTATATTTTTAATTTTATTATTAAATAATAAAAGTCGTATTATTTTTGTAATCAATTTATTGATTACAAAAATAATACGATACGCACCAAATTATTAAAATTCCAACCTTTTCTGCATATAAAAATCAAAAAATTGTTTGCTGTACCTCTAGCTATGTTATGAAATATGTTTTCAAACTTGGCTAGTTTAGAAACAAATTTTTCTAGTTTAATGCGCAAAACATTGTTTCACAATCAATTTGCAGATTTTTGCAATGCTATTACAAGTTTGAACTTATTTTATAAATAACCAAAAACATATTCTTTGCTTGAATATTTCTTTAAAGAAGTCAAAGTGAAACAAACAGAACTGAATTTTTTAGTTTCAAATGCAATAAATGCTATGCATTTACTTAACACTTTTACATGAAAAAATGAGTTAAAAAATAAGTGCTAAGTGGAGCCATTTATTCAGTATTTTACATATAAAATTATTCAATTTTACCTAGCAGCAAGAAAACAATAAAGAATATGTTGATATAAGACAAAACACTACTAAAGTTATACACTATTAAAGTTAAAAAGGTTTCCAGCTAGAAAATAGTAACAAGTAAAAGTTTGTTTTACTTTTTTTAAGCTAATTTCAAAAATAAAAATTGCTTGTACATTAAAACTTCAACTCACAGAATTGAAACTTTGATGCGGAAGGTTTTCTAATGATGCCCTTTTTCTTTTAGACAAGGTGCAAAAACGCATTGTAAACATAGTTGGACCTGCTCTTGCAACCAACCTTCAACCATTATCACATCTTCGTAATGTTGCTTCTCTTTCTCTTTTCTACAAATACTATAATGGGCACTGCTCTAAAGAGCTAGCGTCTCTTGTGCCATCTACTAAAATTCATCCTCGTGTTACTTGTCATTCAATTAAGTGTCATCCATTTTTTTGTTCCTAAGTGCTTTAAAAACTCTTACTCATCTAGTTTTTTTCCTCGAACCTCGAACATCAGTCCTTTGGAACTTGCTTTCTTCATTTTGCTTTCCTGATTTATATAATTTGCAATCTTTAAAGTCATCTGTCAATTTTTATCTTGCTCTATAAACTTCATTTTTTCTCTTCCAGTAACTTCCAACTTTAATAGTGGTTGCTTGCAGCCTTGTTGGAAGCAAAGAAGTTTAAAAAAAAAAAAAAAGTTATGCATGAGGTTTAGGGAAGCAAAACCAAGTATTGACTTTTAAGAACAAGTGGAAAAAAACTACCACAGAGTATGTATTTCACCTAGTGCAAAATGTCATGAGTTCCATCAAGAGATAAATTAGAGAATTTTCTTGTACTAAAGAATTTTTTTTTCTTTTCTAGACTTGATAAGTGTTCAATAACAAAAATCAACTTTATACCTCATTCCATAGTCATTTACATTTTTTCAAATTCAGGTTTTTGAATTTTTCAAATTTAGTTTTTGCATAATAATTATTAAAAATTGATTATTATTTATGCAAAAACTAAATTAATAATTAATAATTCAACTACTAGTATAGTGCTGCACCCTGATATTATCCTATACTGTTTGAACAGTTTAGGCACCTAAACTTATGCGGCTAAACTACGTAAAACATATATCATGAGCTCTAATATTAATAAATCAAAATGTATACAAAAAAAAAGCTAATTTTTTATCTGTTGTACAAAAGATATTACAGCTGTTGTTGTTATAATTTTTATATATAATAAAGTTTTATTATTACAAAGAGATATTACACATCTAAGGTAAGGAGTGTGAGTAAAAAGGTTAGGGAGGAGAATAACAATTTGCATACACAGTACCAATTAAACTAATGCTGGGTATGGTACACAAATAAGCACTCTACACACAAAAGTGTGTGTATATACAATAGTATACACATATATATTATTACACACACATACATAAGTGTGTGTGTGTGTGTGTGTGTGTGTGTGTGTGTGTGTGTGTGTGTGTGTGTGTGTGTGTGTGTGCAATAGTATATATGTATATACTTTTAGCTTAATAAAAATTAGTGCAAATGCTTCACAGGGAAAGAATTCGGAATTGGAGAGCTAACCTTTGGCAAAATGACAGTATAAAATTAAAATGCAAAAGTCATATAGCTTACTTTCTTGTTGGTGCATTTTTCAAAGTAACTTAGGTTACATGTGTAATATGTAGAGAACAGCCAAGACAAAATTTGTAAAAATTTAAGTTAAAAATATAAAACACAAGTTAAAAATATAAAAAACAATACAAAACAAATAAATTTAGCAACAACAACACTTTCATAGCAGAAGCCTAAAAATGGCAGCACATCCTTTTTATAGTACACAACGCTTTAATGCCTTACTGAGAGAGGTTTGACTTGATAAAAATTTTTAGGTGTACTTAACATAAAAATTTTTTTTAGCAAACTTTATTAAAGTTATTCAATAGAATTAAAAGTAGAATAAACATAGTTGTTTAAAAGTAATGAACCTGATTATAATAAAGCATCCATTTTAAATATAAATTTTCAACATGATCAACAGGAGTAGCTAAATACAAGAGGTGTAGTTCATTAGCAAGAACCATTCCAGAAAGAGCATGCTTTAATTGTTCATAAATAAAGGGAGTCTTATCAATATCCATGCAACCTTTAAAAAGAAAAAAATCCTAAAAGTTAGATATCCATTTGGCTTATAGATTACTTCATCAGATATTTTTTATTAACAAAATGATATATATGTGATTGTGTACCCATATATATATCTATTTATCTATCTATTTATCTATCTATTTATCTATCTATCTATCTATCTATCTATCTATCTATCTATCTATCTATCTATCTATCTATCTATCTATCTATCTATCTATATATATATATATATATATATATATATATATATATATATATATATATATATATATATATATATATATATATATATATATATATATATATATATATATATATATATATATATATATATATATATATATATATATATATATATATATATATATAGAAAATCACTTAACAAAAATTTTTTCATTTTATACTGTGTTTCATCAACAAAGACTCATCAGAAATCTGATGAGTCTTTGTTGATGAAACAAAAATTTAAAAAAGGATCAACAAGTTTATCCAGCGATTTGCATTAATTTTTTGAATAACTTGTATGTTTATTTTCAAAATATTTTTATTAGATGTATTTTTATTATATATTTTAAAGCAATGCAATGAAATCTAAACAACTTTTTATAATAGAAAGATTAAAATTGACAAACAGTTGATTTTAATTTTATTAAAACAGTTTAATTCAAATTTATCCTAAATGCAAGTGTAACTTTGAATCCTTTTTTGAACTTTGTTTTCTTAAAAAACAACTAGCAAATGAAAAAATTGTATAAAAATCTAGAAAAAGGAGAGAGTCAGAACACCCTTTATGCAAAAACATTTTTTGATGTGTAAAAAATTTTATGTAGAGTTAAAACTAGCGCAAAGCATACAAAGTTAACCAGAATAACTGTATTTTAAACATCGTAAACAAACCATCATAATGGTAGCAAATCAAAGTTATTTTTATTTAAGAAAAAAAAAATTCAATTTTGATTTGCATAACTTAAATTGTTATATGTAAATCAATTTTGGTATGCATATAACAAAAACACAAGGTTTAGTAAAAAACTGTGTTCAATAGATAAAAATAAAGAAAGTTCATTACAGTATGGTGAGGTTTTGCCACTTAAATATCTTCCAAACTCTCGATTAATCGAACTTTAAAGTCTGTAACCAAACCAAGTCTGTAACCAAAACTGTAATCGAACTTTAAAGTCTGTAACCAAACCATCTAAGCTAGTTTATGGTCTCAAAAGTCTACCGTGGGTATGGGTACATATATATATATAATATATAATATAATATAATATATAATATATGAATATTCTTACAAAAGATTAGAGTAAAAAGTCACAGAAACAAAACCAATTGTTTTATCCCCAGCAAATGAAAAATCGATTAATAATTAAAAAACTTTTAAACTGATGTTTTGTTTTTATTCAATCAATGCCATAAACTCTGTAAAGTTTACACTTTTTAACCATGCATTGATCTGAGAGTGACATCTAAAAATATTTAAGCTCTTATATTTGTACCAATTCTTTACACTTAAGCTAAATTTTGCAACATGCTATACTCAAGTGTGAAGTATATATGTTTGTACAAGCATTCCTGAATTCGTCAGTTTTAAAAATGTTGAAGCCTGAATCAGTTTTACATTTTTTTAAATTATTTTTTATAAAAATATGTTTAGTTTCACATATAAAATTTTCTACACCAATACAAATTTTAAAATTTTTTTGTTAGGTGGGATAATATATATATATATATATATATATATATATATATATATATATATATATATATATATATATATATATATATATATATATATATATATATATATATATATATATATATATATATATATATATATATATATATATATATATATATATATATATTAGGGTAATAACTATTTTCATTTTTTTTTTGTAATGAAACTGAAACCTATCGAGAAACAATTATATGCAGATGACAGTAGCAACGTTAATTTTTTTTTTAAATTGAAAAAAGTTCCCCCACCTTTCAATTTTTATTTTTTCTTATGTTGCTTAATGAGGTATTTTCACAAATAAACAATACCATGATAATGATCAACAATCACGTGATGGATAAGAGATGCTTTTCGATTACTTTGAGCTTATTTTTTTACATAACTATAACCTCTCAATCGCTGATCTGTATATATTACATCTATGCTCTCAAAAGAAAAACAAAAAACAAAGCTGTTATTCCGTTATTAATTGATCAATTTTATTTATCCATCATGTGACGTTTTAAAAAGTTTTCCGGCTCATTAAAATACCTCATTTGTTTAACAATTTAAATTTCACACTGACTTTTTATGTAATGTTCTAGGCTGCTTTTAAGCACATTTCTGTCAACTGTCTGTTTCTATTTGTTTATAAGAAAAAAACATTTACAGATGGTAGTTAACTTTTTTATTTTTATTGATCCCAGCTTAAACAGTGGAAACTCGCTCCGACATGGGGCAAGTTTAGTAAAAATAATTATTTTATTATTGATATATTTTATTCTGTTTCAGGTGCAAACATAAAATATATATATTCTGGAGTATTTTATAACATTTTGGAATATTGTTGATTAATTACCTTGTTTTCAGTGCAAGATTGCCAGAAAAGACATTTTGTCACTTCAATAAAATGTCTTATAGATATTTCAGAAATAGTATCTGGATAAAATCTACTCTTTTCTTTTAAAAATAAAAGAAATCCAAAGATTCCATCTGTTGAAAAACTAACCAATCTCACGCGGATGCCGAAAAACCATCAAATTCTTGGAAACTTCACTTTTCTGTTCAATAGCGAGAAACGGCGACTGGATCGAATCAAGATTATGATTACAGATATAAAAAAGCTTTGGGAGGAAATTCTAGACTTTCCACTGTTATCCAGCGCACTCATAAGAAAGAAGCTCAACAGTCTGATTGATTTATTTAAAACAAAAAGTAACCATCTGATAAATTCACTGCAACACTTTCTCAGTTATTTTGATGTCACCAATGTTAATGGAGAGTGGAAAAACACGGAAGATAAAAAGCTCTACCAGAGGCAAGTTGAGAGTGGAGGAAAGATTGGTTATTCAATGGTCAAACAAGCTCCTCTGGAATCAATTCACCCAAGAAAATGAATCCGACTATCAAAAACTCAATCCCAAGCCAGTTCTTCTAAATTGCATCCCACACAAACACATAAAACTGTCTCAGATTCTTCGGATTCTGAAACTTCTTTTTTCTCACCCGATTCGCAAACCTATTCTTCTACGTCATCTCCTGAATGCAAACCAAAATACTAAAGAGCCAGCACTACAGCAGCTGGTTTACTAGTATTGGAAAACAACATTTCTACACAAAAAGCACATGACGTTCTCGCAACCATTGCTAAACAAGGCCACGATGAGCCGGTTCCAAGTCAGGCGGGTGTCTGGAAAAGAGTAATCTCTGAAGGACAGAAAATGAAAACCAAAATTGCTCAAAAACTTAGGGGCAAAGATCCATATTGTCTCCAGTTTGATGGTAAAAGAGTGCATGGGGAAGAATACCAAGTAGTTCTGCTGAAAAATATGAATACCGAAATCAAACTCGGTATTCTTAAATGTGAGAGTGGTTCTGCTGCGGCCATTCACAAGGAATTACTTCAGCTAATTGATGAATACAATGCTTGGGAAAATATTTGCATGATAATCTGTGACACGACTGCAGTAAATACTGGTCGTCTGCATGGGATTGAAAAGCTAATACAAGATGATGTTTTGAGCAAGGGCTTTCAGAAACCACAATATATTGGCTGTCAGCACCATGTTCTCGACCTCCTTCTGAAACATGTCATAAATTTTTTTATTCAAGACCAACGAGTAAACCAGAACTCAATTATTCCTTCATTGATAAATTAACAGAAAATTATATTTCTCTTCAGGATGATTACCGCCTATATGCGACAGATGATGTTAACAAAGGCAAAAACACAGCATGGCGAGATGATTTCAAGTTCTTATATGAATGTCAAGCGTATCGTCATTACAAAACAACTTCACGCTGACTTCGAATAAACTGGAAGAAACTCCCAAATGTACACCAAGCAAGATGGAACTCATGTGCAATATATGCTGTTATAGCATTACTCCTGATGCCAGAAAGGCGCATCACCTTCGTTCCAGCATGCGACTTCATCTGCTACGAATGGGCAAATGCTTGGTTCCATTTGCAACACTACAATGAAGCATCCTTCAATGAACTATTAACCTCACTCATCAAGATAAAATGCAAGAAAGCAATTAAGTGTTTAAAGACACATTGGTCAATCGAGGAGTCATTCATTGATATTCCCAGATCTAACCAAATTGCTGAACGTGTGGTAAAACTGATGGAGGAACTTCATGAAGAATCAATAAAACTTGAGTTTTTGAATTTGAAGTTCCTCGGAAAAAATAACTTTTAAACATTTCATGTATATTTTGTACATATTACTAATGTTCTCCATCTTATTTGTTCATAAAAGTTGCTTAGATAAACTATTACTTTTATTATTTTGGATAAAGCTAAAAAACATGTCCTTTTTTAAAAAAATACATTTTTTTATTTTTCTTTTCCTGTGTGAGTGGAGGAACTTTTTTAAAAAACATCAAAAATGCAATTTATAGTCTTGAATTACACATAAAGTTTCCTCGATTGCAAGTGGTTTCATAGAAAAAATTTTTTTGTGATAACCCTAATATACATATATATATATATATATATATATATATATATATATATATATATATATATATATATATATATATATATATATATATATATATATATATATATATATATATATATATATATATATATATATATATATATATATATATATATATATATATATATATATATATATATGCATCATTAGACCCACACTCAAGACATCATACTGAAATAAGTAGCTGCAGTAACTTGACATTAAACACTATATATTGATAACTTTACATAATTAGTATAGTTAAAAAATTTTATTAATATACTAAAGATACAATAGGGAGTGATTAAAGTTGATATTATGGATAACATTTCTGATTATTTTGCCACGCACCCACACATCATCACCCACCCACCTAATCTTGGAGAATTTAAAGCTGCCCTTGCTCATTAACAGTTTTTGATGATGACTGAAAATTGCAACCCTAATATTTGATATTGTAAGATAATTGGAATTTATGTCTTTTTGTAAGATAATGGTATTTATTTGTAAGATAATGGTAATTTGTAAGATAATGGTATATTATGTCTATATTTTATCATCTAATTTTTCTTCAAATATCAGTAAAAATTCTACTTATAAATAATGATAATATTAAAAATGTAATAATATTTTCAACAAATAGATTAATACAATATATTAATAGTAATTTTCAGCCAAAAGCAGCCAAATTATTTTACTTTACTTGAATCTAAAAATAAGGTCACAGCTAGTTGTAGTACAACTTGATGAAAAAGTTTCTCTATTTATTTTACTTTAGTTGATTTTAAAAACAAGGTCACAGCTAGTTGTAGTACATCTTGATAAAAAAGTTTCTCTTTTTTTTATTTTCTAAAAATATAAAATCAAAAAGTTTTTTGCTTTCTTTTAAAAATATATAATCAACATTTTAAATCAAAATTTGTTGCTAGAGCGAAGACATTACAGTGTGGTGAGAAAAAATGCTACTTAGACTTTCATTACAGTATGTTGAGAAAAATATGTTACTTAGACTTTCATTACAGTGTGTTGAGAAAAATATGCTACTTAGACTTTCATTACAGTGTGGTGAGAAAAATATGCTACTTAGACTTTCACTACAGTGTGGTGAGAAAAATATGTTACTTAGACTTTCATTACAGTGTGGTGAGAAAAATATGTTACTTAGACTTTCATTACAGTGTGGTGAGAAAAATATGTTACTTAGACTTTCATTACAATGTGGTGAGAAAAATATGCTACTTAGACTTTCATTAAAATGTGGTGAGAAAAATATGTTACTTAGACTTTCATTACAGTGTGGTGAGAAAAATATGTTACTTAGACTTTCATTACAGTGTGGTGAGAAAAATATGCTACTTAGACTTTCATTACAGTGTGGTGAGAAAAATATGCTGCTTAGACTTTCATTACAATGTGGTGAGAAAAATATGCTACTTAGACTTTCATTAAAATGTGGTGAGAAAAATGTTACTTAGACTTTCATTACAGTGTGGTGAGAAAAATATGTTACTTAGACTTTCATTACAGTGTGGTGAGAAAAATATGCTACTTAGACTTTCATTACAGTGTGGTGAGAAAAATATGCTGCTTAGACTTTCATTACAGTGTGGTGAGAAAAATATGCTACTTAGACTTTCATTACAGTGTGGTGAGAAAAATATGCTACTTAGACTTTCATTACCGTGTGGTGAGAAAAATATGCTGTTTAGACTTTCATTACAGTGTGGTGAGAAAAATATGTTACTTAGACTTTCATTATAGTGTGGTGAGAAAAATATGCTACTTAGACTTTCATTACAGTGTGGTGAGAAAAATATGTTACTTAGACTTTCATTACAGTGTGGTGAGAAAAATATGTTACTTAGACTTTCACTACAGTGTGGTGAGAAAAATATGTTACTTAGACTTTCATTACAGTGTGGTGAGAAAAATATGTTACTTAGACTTTCATTACAGTGTGGTGAGAAAAATATGTTACTTAGACTTTCATTACAATGTGGTGAGAAAAATATGTTACTTAGACTTTCATTAAAATGTGGTGAGAAAAATATGTTACTTAGACTTTCATTACAGTGTGGTGAGAAAAATATGCTACTTAGACTTTCATTACAGTGTGGTGAGAAAAATATGCTACTTAGACTTTCATTACAGTGTGGTGAGAAAAATATGCTACTTAGACTTTCATTACAGTGTGGTGAGAAAAATATACTTATTTTTTTTTTTAAATGTTCTTTCAATTAAAAGAATATTTTTATAGTGTTTCATAAAAAACCTTAACAGAATTTCTAAACCCTCACATAAAAAACTTTGTTAATGATTACACAATGATTACACAATAGTTAACTCTTTAATTGTCATCACATTAATTTATTTACAAAAAATATTGACCTTGATATTTTTTAAAAATTTCTACTGTAAGCTATTTTATTTCTCCAAAAATTAATAAAAATATTTATACAATAAAAAAAAAAAAAAAAAAAGAAGTTAATAAAAAGTTAAATAAAAAGCTTATCTACAAAAACCAACTTTTTAAGCATTTTCACATATTTTCATTTCATATAAATGTTGAATGTTAGCTTCCACCTTTTTGGTGTTTAATCTTTTTTCACACCACAAAAATTATGTAATCAGCCTCTAGGCACTTATTTCCATATTATTTTACCTATTTTATACGTTTTATTATTACATACTTTACGTAGAGTTTTTTGTTACTAAATACTTACATATCTTTTTTTTTTTTATTACTTACTTGCGTATCATACTTTTTAAAATAAATGTACTTTTTGAAGCTTTAATTGCTATTAAAACATTTAACTATTTTGTTTAAAAAAAAAAAATAGAAGCTTTTATAGGTTTTTTTGACAACTTGTTGACAAGATTAGATCTATTGGGTCATAATAAAGATTTTGCAATACTATGGTTTTTCAATAAATTTAAACTTTTTATAACTTTTCATCAACTATAGATAAATAAAAAAATCTCAAATAACTATAAAAAGCAAAACCTTTGTATGTTGCTTGACCTAAAGAAGTTAACTGAATGTCTTCATTTTCTTCTCCATCAATAATGACAAGCATATTAATTTTTACCAAATGATTAATTTCTCTAGAAATATCATCTAAAAGCGTAGATTTTTTAGAATCATCAAGTTGTATATAATGAAGAGTTTTCTTAAAAAATGATTCCATGGTGTTAAGACACATACAAATCTAAAACAAAATAACAAAGGCAACATAATGAAATAAAAGAAATTGTAAAATATTTTATTTTGGGACTTTTTTTACTAATTTATTTTTTTATAATTATTATTATTTTTTTTTTTTTAGCAAGCTTTATGTTATAAATATGACTATAACTTTGCCAACAAAGTATTAATTTTTTTGAACCCATTGTTCCCCTAACTGAGCTCCAAATTATATACCAATTGAGCTCCACATTATAACAGGAGTTGTGGATGAAGTTTGTACTTTGCTTTTATGTGAAATTTTAACAATTGATATTTTATTGATAATTGTTTTTGTAATTTTCCTTATCAAAATCAACAGTCTTTGGTTTGGAACTAGGTATAGATATTTCTGTTAAAATTGAAGACTTTAAAAGAAATGTATCAAAAGAGCTGATTGAGTGCGGCACAGTGTTACAGCGCTTGCTTTATAAGCAAGAGATCTATGTTCGAAATGAGCTCTGGACATATTTTCACGTCACGGAAAGGAAGGAGGTATGAACATCCTGGTTAAATGTACTTCCGCGGTGCTATAACAAAACAAAAAACAAAAAAAGTTTCAAAGCAATTTTAAGTTCATCAAATCTTTTCTTTTTAGTATTCAGCTAATTAAAATAATAACTCTGATAAAGAACTTACTCTGATGGAGATTTGCTTACTCTAACAGAGAATAATCTGATGGAGATTTGCTTACTCTAACAGAGAATAATCAGGTCAGATAAAAAGATTTCTTTATACTTTGTGAAAATTTTTTGCTGACAAGATTACTTTTGATCAAAATTTAATAGATTTACGGGTTATAGATTTACTAATTGTTGGGAGTATATTACTAACCATTTTTTGTGTTATTATTTGAACACACTTTTTGTGTTATCATTTGAACACACTTTTGGAGAACTTTCTTTTAAATCACTTAATCAGATTTTATAAAAAAAATTTTAAAAAATTTCTAAAATTTTTTCTACTCTACTTAAATGACAAAATGACCAACGATATGTTAATGACTACTCTTGATTTCATTCTTACCTCATTTTTTATCCGTGCTAATATTGAATAGTGTTGTCGTATTTGGGCTGGTTCTTTTAACAACCCCCTTTCTTTTTCATTCAAGGTCCAAAAATAAAAAAATATATATAGTTTAAAAGGTTGCACCTCTTTCTATATACTACCATGTTTAAATGCTCAAGCAATCTTTTGCTCTATCAACCAAAAAACAAAATCACCTCAATTAAGATTCAAAAAAAAGTTGCATCCTTTTATAGAAACTTTTTCTTCATATTCAATATCTTCTATTTGTCTTGTCTTAAAACAATTGTTTAGTTTTTTATTTGCTCATTTTTCAACTCTCTTCCTTACTTTCCAGTAGTTTCCAGTTACTTGAATGTTACTTGCATTCTTGTAAAACCTGAATGTTGCTTGCATACTTGTTTGAAACAAACTTTTTGTATCAATTGTATATTTCATCCTTGTTGTATTAAATTAAACAGTAAAAATAAAAAAAGTTGAAATCTCTCACTACAATTTTTTTTTTTTTATCTAGTTTTAACAACTTTTTAGCATGTTTTTGAATTAATTTTACTATCTAAATAATTGGGTAAAAATTAATACCTTTAGCCCTAATAGAGTCAATATTAAGTGTCTGAAGCCTTTCCCATCTTGATATGACAAACTACTTTTACAACTTCCAATTGGTCCTTCTAAAAGTTCACGTGCTTTAACTTTATCTTTCTGTTGAAGAATTATAATACTTTCACCAGATGTGTCAATACCTGCTCTCCCAGCTCTCCCTACCATTTGTTTGTACTGACTTTTCATTAAAAATGCATTTCCAATATATGGAGAACGTAAAATTACTCTATCAAAAAAATTATTCATAAAAATATGAAATAGAAAAATTAAAGTAATGCCAAAAAAATTATAATCTGAAAAGCTTATAACTAAAAATCTTAAATTTTAAAACTTTAAAAAATATAAAACTATATAAAAAATGTAAAACAACTTACTATATATAAAAATAATTATAAAATTATATAATTAGATTTATATATGAGCATAATAACTTTTAAGTGACAGACTATAAAAAACAACAGTCAGAAAAGTAAAAAAACCTTTTAGCTGGCAAATTTACACCAGCAGCAAGCGTAGATGTGCAACATAAAAGACATAAAACACCAGAGGAATATGCTTCTTCTATAAGTTTTCGTTCATCCATTGTCAATCCACTATGATGATAAGCAATACCAAAAGCAATTGTTGACTTTAGTGTAAAACACACACCACTAATTGTACTTTTTAAAAGATCAAGTAGCTGCTGGCGTTCTTCTTTTTTATTTACCATTAGTTCTCTTAAGTTTAAATTTTTAGAAATTCAATCAAAATTTTTCTCTTTTTACTTACTATATTTAAAAAAAAAAAAAAAGTAAATTACTTGGGCATTGATTTTGCTAACATTAAAGCAACGCTTTCACAGTTTTTCTTAGTTGAACAAAATATCAAACAGGAGTTTTGAGGTATGACTTCTAGTACCAATGTTAGGATATGATCTGGATCACCTGCCTTTAACGCTGATGAAATGTTCTAAATTTTAAAAACAAATCTTACAAATAATAAATTTTATAAATACCTAATAATTATTATATTTCTAAACATAAATAAAACAATGATGATTTGATTCTGTTATGTCTTATAAAGCTCTGATTATCTCTGTTAACTCTTATAGAGCTCTAATTATCTCTGTTATCTCTTATAAAGTTCAGATTATCTTCATCTCTTAAAAAGCTCTGATTAACTCTGCTATCTTTTATAAAGCTCTTGATTCTGTTATATCTTATAAAGCTTTTGTAGTTTTTTTCATAAAAAGTTTTGCTATCTTTTGTTATATTTGCCTAAATTTTTATGTTTTAAATTATTATTCTATTTAAAGTGAGAATTGTTTCTGATGTAACTTGGTTGAATTGTTCTATACTTTGAAACGGTTGTTTGTTATATACTTAGTGCATATTTGTTCTGCACTTTGGTTCCACATAAAAAAGCTAGGTGTTATTATTATTTATTTTTGTCCTTCATTTTTTGTTAAATATAGCAATAAACCAATAAGATCATTTTTTTTAATATTCAGTAATGAACTTTTTTAAATTATGTAAATTACTATTTTTAATCTAAACAGATTGCTAACCTTTTTAGAAGCTGATGATAAGCTCATTATAAATCTAAGTCACATGGTATGTTTTAACATCGATATCTCATTTAGATTAGTTATTTTTGCTTACGTCATTTGTCTTGATTGATTTATCATTTTTAAACTTCAATCTAATAAAATTTATAATAATCTATTTTTTTTTTAGATAACTTAACTTAGTTTAGTTAACTTGACTATTCCTTCGTTTACATTTTAAAATTTTAAAACAGATTTAAGATTTATTTAATAACTCTTTAGGAGATCAAGCTCTGGTAATAAGTTAGAATATAAAACAATTTTTTAAAAGAAAATATACATATTGCTAAAAATTGCTAAAGAATATTTATAAAAGTATACTTTGGTAGAATATTTGCAAAAACAATTTGATTAGTTATAAGTTATTTTTTGACATAACATGGTTGTAGATATTCCAATTCATTCTTTATATTCTAGTATAGTTTTCATTACAATAAAATATTTAGCCCAAAATGAGGATAACAGAAGCTCATGTAAGTTCTCTGTTTTCCAACTCAATCTTTGTAGTTTTCATTTCAATAAAATATTTAGTCCAAAATGAAGCTAACAAAAGCTCATGTAAGTTTGCCCAAGTTAGCATCAAGATTTTTTTGACTTGCAATTAATACCCTTAACAAGTACAAAGTAAACTATAACTTTCCTATTAATAAAAAAACTTTAACTTTCTTAATAATAGATTTGTCAGTAAAAAGAGATAAGCTTGAGCTTACTTTAGCCTGAGCTATGTCTAAAATGCAACCAAGTTGATTCTTCCATGTTTAAGCTGATTTTACAATGTACAAGTTGATTTAACAATGTACAAGTTGATTTTACAATGTTCAAGTTGATTCTAGAATGATGCTAACTTGCTAAGTCTGGCTAAGTGCTAATGCGGTAGTGGTGTAGTGGTAGAGCGCTCGCTTCATAAACAAGTGGTTCCGAGTTCGATCCCCACCACGTCCCTGGTAGTACCGCGCCTAACTCGTTTCTCTGTGCAGCGGCCTTGTTCGTCAAGGTTCGTGTTTCGGAGTTATAGAGTTGAGAGAGGGTTATAACCACAAATAAGTAGCCTACTCATCTGTAGTGGCCTTCTTGGCCTTGAGGAGGTGAATTAAAAAAAAAAAAAAAGTCACTAATACAATATCTGCATTTGGATTTACATGAGCTAAATAATAATAGTACTGACTGATTTTTCATTCTACAAAGTTGTAGGGAAGTAGTTTCTATCTGTCTGACAGTGTGAGAATCTGTCATTAATAATTTAATAGTAAATATCTGTTATTATTAATTTAATGATTCACTTTTGATTCATGTAACAAAAGTAACTTTAATTTTCAGCATTTTTTAAATCAACAATATATACACACAAGCACAAATATATAGGAGAAGAGATGGAGTAATGTGGGCGATGGATTACCCCCACCAGACCTCAAGTTATTGTTGCACTTTTTTAAATTAAAAAATTGAAAACAATGAAGTTTTTTTGAATGAAAAACCAAAATGAAAAACTAGAACATGTTTACGTGTTTTACTTTTTGTTTAACCATATTTGTTGTTTTTACAACCATATAAACAACATTTGTTTATTTGTTCATTCAACCATATAAACAACATTGTTCAGCATGTTTAATCAAAAGCAAAGCATAAGTTAAATTTATGCTTTGTGATGTCTCATTACAAGTTAAATTGCTGCATGTTTTGTGATATCTCATTACAAGACACAGCAGCTGATTTTTATATCAAATCAATATTAAAACGAACTCATTCAACTTGTTACAATAAGTTAAGATGGTCAGTTAGGAAGTTACAATAAGTAACCCTGACAACAACAACCCTTACAATCTCTTATATATCAGAAAATTGCAAGAAAAAATATTAAAACATTAAAAATAGTTTTACTTGAATATGTGTAACTGTGCGGACTTTTCTATACAATTCTTCTGAGTTTTTATTTATCTCATACAATGTGTCATCCATTTTTACATACTCAATTAACTCCACCTACAAAGAAAACAACAAGTTATTAAACTTTTTCATTTAAAAAAATTATATATTTAACCAAGATACAACTGCACCTCATTAAACACAAAATACAGACAACATTAGTTGTCTGTGTTGTGTGTTTGATGAGGTGCAGTTGCATCTTAATGTGTGTTTGATGCAGTTATTCATTAACCTATCATTATTTTACAATCAGATTCAAATGATTTATGGGGTAGTATTGGTAGTAAAATGATTTATGGGGTAGTATTGTTAGTAAAATGATTTATGGGGTAGTATCATTATTTTACAATAAGATTCAAATGATTTATGGGGTATAGCAGTATCGAAAACAACTAAACTAATTAATCTCAAAAAGAGACTTTCTGGAATAACATCGAAATAGAGACATCGAAATTGTAAAAAAAGAAATTGTATTGAAAATCCGAAAAACAGAATAATCTCAAAATTGTGAAAAAAGGAGCAATATTGAAAAGTGACTTTCCAGAAAAAAGACTTTCAGGAATAATATTGAAAATGTGAAAAAAGGAACAGATTCGAAAATTCCAAAAGCAGAATAAATAAAAGGCCAGTTTTTTGTGGTTTTGAATTAAAGTATAGTAATTATACTGTATAATTGTATAATTTATACAATATAAACTAAAAGTTCTATTAGTAGAACAAAAAATATGTTGTGTTGTTGGCTATTTATAAAACGATTTAAAACAAGATGTATTGATTTTATTTACAGCTAATGTCAACAAACCATAAAAAGTTACAAAATTTTTTGTCAAAATCAATAAAGACTTAAGAACCATAAAAAGTTTGAAAGATAAACTTTTTTATAAATATGCAAAACTATATGCCAAGTAAGTCATCTGTTATATGTGCAAAAAAATTTCAAGAAAAAAATACTTTAAAACAAGGAGTGCCAGCTAAAAGATCCTGCTTAATAAAATAATTAGAGCTAATTAAAAGATCCTGACTAGTAAAACAAGAAGAGCATGCAAAAAGATCCTTTTTAATAAAAGATTATAAGCAATAGCCACTCTACCTCCAATTGTCATGGAAAAATTACTATTATTAAGTAGTCATCTGGTCATTCTGTTCCAGAATGTTTAACATTGTAAATACTAAAAAAATATTGAGCACACTATTTTAAATACATTGCTGGTATAGTATGTAGCTACCAAATGTTAAAAATTATCATATTGTATTTTACAAAAAGTTATAAAATTTCCATACCAGAAGTTATTGAGGTTATTATACAAGTTGCTAAGAGCTTATACGAAATTATTTTACAAGAGTTGTTTTATTTGAAGTTGAATTATTTAGAAAATTTTCCATTGCTTTCTTTGTTGAAAACACATTATGGTAATATTGACACAATAGAATATACAAAATTATTACTCAAAATTGGCTAAAAATGTTGTAAGATATCTGATTAATATTTGATGAAATTTATTTACAGAAATATACAGAATACTCTAAACTTTGAACTAAAAAAAACTTGTCTGAATTTTTCAAAAATGGTATACAATAGAAAATTGTTAAGAACTTTCATTAAATAATAGGAATATTCCGTACATAATAAAAACTGCCTCAGTTATAAAAACTTATAGTAATTGATTGAGAAATGAAACCATTGAAACTATGACTATTTTTTAAACAGTGCTTATGTAAACTTTTTGTGCAATAATGATACAAGTAATTTTGAAAGATTCAATAGATTGCTATCAGAAGATAAAAATAGGTTTAAAAAAGTTTATTTTGTGGATTTACTTTAAACTATAAATGATATACTATCCAGACTTCCCCCATTTGAGTATACTATGTTCAAAGATGATGTTACAGTTAAACAGGCAAGTATTTTAACAGCAAATTTACATAAAACCTCAAAACTTACAAATAAAGTGTTGAATCCAGGAAAATTTAAACAAAATGATAAAAACCTAAACTTTAATTAGCTATGGCATTGTGGATAAAAATCTAATACAAATCTGTCTGCTCATATAAAGTAGTGAAACAGTTCCTCTTATTTAAAGGTCTTTTGAGTTACGATTATAATTGTGTCGGTAAGTTCAGTCAGTATCAGTAAATGAGTGGCATTAACTTTTGGTTACTTAAAAGATGTCAAAAAGTTCAAAAATGGTTAGTAAATGTTAACAGATAAACAATATATTAACAATTTATTTTTGTAAATCTTTTTCAATTTAGACTTTTAATGTTATTATCAATACTCATTTGTCATTCTGAACTACTACTCAGTTTGTTTTGAATTTAGTTTGCGTAATAAAAACTTACTTTGTTCTGAGCATGTGATACATAGATGAGAGTTAAGGACTAAAAAGAAAGGGGAAGGGGCAGTGACCACATACTTATTTGAAGTTGGAAGTCGATACTCCTAAGTTGCATTTCTTACTAAGTCTGTTCTAAGAATTGGATAAGTATATTGCGCTCTAAGCATTGTACTTTCGCTTAAAAAAAAAAACAAAAAAAAAAACATGTAAGTTTTTGGGTAATAGTGAGGGACACTGTATACTTCATGTGCCCAAGCGTGTTAGAAGCAACTTTTTGCTTTTAACTTGTTCTTTAAGTTAAAACTAAGAAGAAAAATTTTTTACATTTGGGGCCAGGACCCATGACGTTAAACTTAGTATAGTCCGCAAAAATAAAATTAGGAAATTAAGTAAAAAACTATATAATCAAAAAGAGCTCGTTGAGCGGAACAAAAAATATGTAAAAACCATATGCTGAAAATGTTTCCTTCCCAAGTATAACATTTTATAGATTATATAAAACACAGACCCAGATTTTACAGACCAGCACAAAAAAGCTATAAAAATGGTTTTTTTATCCTAAATTGGCCATATATTAATAATTCATTTTGTTTGAAGAGTTGTTATTGATATGAGTTTTCTATTAAAAGCAGTTAAATAATATACGTATATACGTAATATACATATAAAAAAAATTTTTAATTGTTTAGTTTTATTTTTTGTGATAAATGTTCAGTGACAAATGTTTTACAAAACTTCTCTCAAAATGCAAAAACTTTTTTTGTGTGTTTGCATATTTGGACGTTTGTTCACCTTTTTATTTTTACGTCAGCCTATTTAATCTTAAATAAAATACAGTTTTCAGTAAATACTTTTAAATTGCTCTCAATATATAAGTAACAAAATTATCTTTTTAGATCCAAATTTCATCCATACATTGGGAGTGTTGTTTTAATGAGCTTTCTAAACAAAGTTTATTTATAGGCTGAGTCATGTGCCAAACAACAATTTTAACGTAATGCTGTATGTCCGCATGCAAGCCATCTCAGGAAAGGCGTGAGGTTTTTCGTCTCGTACGATCACGAAAACGTTTTTCAAGAGAACGTGATCACGGTCGTTTGCGCAAGTTTTATTATATGCATTGCTGAAAAATTGTTTTAAATTTAATAACTACTTAAGAAATTAAGGTGAACTTAAATAGAGAAAAATAATAATAGTTTAAATAATTTGTTTGTTGTTTTTATTTTTGTTTTTTCTTAGTGGTTGTTATTATCGGCAACAAAATTCATTAAGTCAAAGCAAAAAAAAAAAAAAAAAACTGTTTTAGGAATTAAAAAGGATGACTTTTCCATATTTTATGTGTTTTTTCTTTTAAAGAGGATAGAGAAAATATGTATCATCATCTGTTTGTAAAATATATTTGTATAATTATAATGTAACAAGTTTATATCAAGAGTTAAATTATACGATCGCGATTTGCAATCTCTGGTAAAATATTAGGTCTTTAAAATTTTAGTTCATGCAAAGCTGTGTACTTTGTTAATAAGGAGCAAATTATTAAAAGTTTGCTAGCGAGAAAGCTACAAAAAACAAAACAAAAACAATAAACTTACGACTACAAAAGTAATAACACTTTAGTCACTAACTGCATTATAAAAGTAATAAAACTATAATAGTGTTATTACATTTATAAAGCACTTATTACTTTTAAAGTTTATTCTTTGTTCAAACAACATTATTAATTCCAAACATTTATTAAAGTAGAAAAGCATCTAGAAAAAATAAAGCGGATATTCAAATATTATTAAAAATTTCAGGAACTTTCACATATCACTTAAACAACGTTATAAAAAAGTACTTTATAAAAAGTATAGCATTATGAAAAACGTTACGTAAAAACGTGAGTTAATTTTAAAATCAAAATTAAAATAAAAAACTTTTATTGGTTAATTTTAAAATTAACGCGCATTTTTACTGTCCATTAGTAACGTTTTTCACAATGCTGAAGTTTTAATACGATACGTTTTCATAAAGTTGTTTGTCACGTTTTTATAAGTTACTTTAGTTTTAATATTATTTGAACATCTACTTTATTCTTTTAGATATTTTTCTACTTCAATTAAAATTTGGGAATACTAATGTTGCTTGAACAAAGAATGAATTTTAAAAGTTATAAGTGCGTTATAAAAATAATAACACTATTGTAGTGTTATTACTTTTGTAATGCAGTTAGTGACTAGAATGTTATTACTTTTGTAATCGTAAGTTTATTGTTTTATTTTTTATTTTTATTTTTATTTTTTCGCTAACAAATTTAAGTTGATTCTCCTCTTAAAAACAAGGAACACGGTTTTGTATAAACTAAAACTTTGAATATTAAATATTTTTCCAGATTTTGCGTTTTGCATTCGTTTAATTCAACCCTTGTTTTTACATTAAAATTATATAAATAAATTTTATAAACACATTGCAATTTGTATTTTTGCTATCCTCTTAAAAAAAATTAATAAAAAGGAAAATCATTATTTTTATTGCAGACTTCAAATTGTTTCTTTTTTTTTGCTTCGCCTTATCTAATTTTTGTTGCTGAATGTAACTCTAAAGAAACAAAAATAAAAACAGTACACAAATGATTTAAATTATTAATTTGTTTTTATTTTTTTCTATTTCAATCTCTTTTTATTTTGTTAGTTATGTTTTTTTTGCTTTTGAAACTTTTTCAGCATTATTATAAAACTTGCA